TATGAGGAAAAACTAAGCAAGCTGGGCCTGTTTAGCCTGGAGAAGAGAAGGCTGAGAGGAGATCTGATCAACATGTAGAAGTACCTGAGGGGTGATTGTAGGGAGGATGGGGCCAGGCTCTTCTCTGTGGTGGCCAGTGACAGGACAACGGGTAACGGGTACGAAGTAAAACACTGGAAGTTCCATCTCCGTGTGAGGAAGAACTTCTTTCCTGTGAGGGTGACAGAGCCCTGGAACAGGCTCCGCAGAGACGTTGTGGAGTCTCCTTCTCTGGAGATCTTCCAAACCCACCTGGATGCCACCCTGTGCCATGTGCTCTGGGTGTCCCTGCTGGAGCAGGGCAGGTTGGACTAGATGATCTCTAGAGGTCCCTTCCAACCTTAACCAGTCTGTGATTCTGTGTCTCTGTGATTCTCTTAGTGCTCCATTTAGGCATTAGGGAAACATTGTGTTTCTCCATACAGAATAAGAGCTATTCCTCCTCCACCAGACTTAGGCAGGCTGTGTCAGAAGGAGAGAAGACTGAATTCAGAACAAATATTAATAGATGAAAAAAAGAAAACTTGTGGCTTTGTAGGCATCATGTAGAGCAAATCCCCAGGGGAAAACATACATCATATCCACATTGCTATTTTTGCATCCATTAGAGATGTAAAATCCAAGGACATCTCAAGAATAATTTACTAAGAAAACACAACGAAACAGCAGCTGCCACAGAGCTGATCTGCAGGCACTAGCCCCAGCCTGGGTACATATAATGTAGTCCCAGATAATGAAACAGCCGTAAATCACATGGCATTTAACAGGACCGCTGGCAGCCACTCCATGGAGGTCACCTCCCAGAAAAACAGAGCCGGCTTTGCTCATGGAAGACCTCCCAGCAAGTAAGGCGCTAGGAAAGCATCCTAAAAGAATTATTTTGTAACACAGCACCTTTCTATAGGAGAAATACGGTATCATGTGCCTTACATAAAACTTCTCCCCTTTGCTGCCTTCATGACAGGTGGAGAACAGCAATAATGAAGGATGGTAATGACAGGATATCAGTGTGATCAGTCAACCAGACCCTGAATTTGTGGAAAATGGGTGGATCTAGATGGAGTTCATTTATATCTGCTGGCACTGCAGCCCAATAATGTCTGCTGAAATGGAGGCCATACTAACTCATGACAGAGAAGAAAATCTGCATGCTATAAATAAAGCATATAATAGAAATCACTGAGCTGATTTGCACAGCCAGCCAAGCTGTCAGCCATCAACAAGGATACAAATAAATGGGTCAGTGGGTATTTCGTACTTGACTGCTCTCCACAGGAAGCTGCAGAGCTGAGATCAGGAATCTAAGAATCAGCTACAACCCCCAGACAAGACCACACACTTCCTCTCTGAATTTTAGGTAACAAATCCCTGCAAAAGCACAGGGCTGGAAGAATAGAGGCTTCGCTAAAACCTCCTAACACTGAAAACGAGAGATTGATGGAGAAAATCAAAACACCTGCCTCAAATTTTGATACAGATCGTTGATTTTGCTCCCACCTCAGGCTAAGTAATTCCAAATTAGAACATCACCGTTGCTTAGTTTTTAGCAATGTGGATGCCCTCCATTTGAGGCATATTTCATATGGCAATTACGAGCGCTTTGAGACACCGCCATAAACACCCACACATCTGCCCATGCACCAGTTTAACCAACAGAAGATGGTTAAAAGGCTATTTATGATGGCAATTCCCACCTAAACGTTTGATGTAATCTGAAGGAGCATAAGCATCAGGAGAGTCCTGGCCTTCTTTGCTTCCTATTGCATGAAAGCAAAACTGAAGGACTACAGCACACCAAAAGCAAGAGCTGCGCGAAACCTGAGCGGGGAAGGAAGCCAGTAGCTGAGCCCCAGTGCTGGGGAGCTATTTAAGAAGCTGGCACTTTGTGCCCCCTTCCAACTAACATGCTCACTGCAGGAAATGGGGAGAAAAAACAAATGTGCCACTGCCCTACAGTAAATGCAGAAGCCAGCCTGGAAGAACCTTATAAACTCTACGAGGGTAGACATTACTCAGACAGGGTGACACAGAGGAGGCTCTATGTGCAAAGTGGCAGAAGCAGCTGGGCTAATTTTGGTGTGGCATGTTGGCCAGCTGTGTCCCGTGGGTTCACCTGATTTCACATAATGCACACGGTGTTGTTACTGAGCAGTATTAAAGAGCATGTATCAGGTTCTTCAGTTGCATTTGACCATGGGCAGTCTGACCCGCAGCATCCCCTGAGGACCTTATTTATTATTCACAGCAATAGTGCAGAGAGCAACCGCGGTGGCAGAGCCACTGCTTACTACAGAAATCACTACGTGCCATGAAAACGCCAGTTCTCACTTATTTGCAGCCAGGGCAGACATGTACTTCAGTGAAGAACCGGGGTGCAATCCTCGGCATCTGTGTTAGTGAAAAAGCCAGGAGAAGACAAAAGGAGTCCCTCCCCAGAACGCGCTGGTGTTACATGGGAAATGGGGACATCTTGTGGTCACCTGGCAAAATTTACCCGGTGAGCTTCAGAGGCTTTTGTGTGGGAAAAAACAACTAACTAGGAAAAGCTGAGTGAAAATTAAAAGGGAAACGTTCAGTTTAGCAGGCACGTGTGTGGAGAAGCTCTGTTATCTAAGAGCTGTGTAGCTCGAGCGCTCACCAGTGCTCTCCCTTGTCTTTGGGGGGTTCCCCCATCTCACCAAAGGCTGATTTTCCCTGGCTCCTCAGGGATATTTGCTGTTTTTAGGCTTTCTTGTCCGTGCAGTGCCAGCTGCTATGAATAGCACGCTGCACAAAGCCCGACTGAAAGCCCAGCTCTCTCCCCTGTCCCGTAAGTGCTCCAGGTACCAGAACTGTGACATTGGTGTTGACTGGGCTTCAGTAAATGCTTTAAGCAAAGCACAGTGGCATGCAGGGCAGTTGCTGAGACACAGGCTCTACCTACCTGGTTCTTTACAGACAGAGATGTGTCTGCTTGGTTCTGAGTCCAAGCAACCAACCCTTCACCACGGCTCCTTTGCTCCAGCTCAGCACCATGTTAATGTGGGCACAGAGCCTCTGGGTTAGCTCAAATCTGCACCCAAACTCATGCCAGAATCCCCTACACAAAGCAACCAGGCAGGCAGACTTGCCCTAGGAAGAGGCTGGCTTTAGCCCTGCTCGAGTTTAGCACCTGCCCCTCTCCTCCTGCCCCAGCTTTCATTAAGAAAGCCCCAAACAAAAATGTTTCATAAAGGTCAAAACAAACAAACATTCATTTCTGAAACCTTTACTTTGATGCTAAAACTCAGGATATTGGCATATTCAAAAACCATTCACTTTTGACTGGAAGACAGTATTTACATTCAAAACATTCTAAATGTTTTTGGATATCTAGAAACTACTTTTTGGGTGCTCCATTTATCTTTCCTGTGTTTTAAATTATTCCCCAAAAACCTGAAGCAACCTGTACACCCAGTATCCTCTCCTGGCTTGGGGAAGGGGGCATTTAGAAACATTCCTCTGAATACGCAGGACAGGCAGGAGGAGACACAGTGCAGCAGCTTTCCTACTCTCCCAGTGCCGGTCCCAGTACTATTCTAACACTTAGCAGCCATCAAAGAGGATGTTCTGCTGTTCTGCAGCATGGGCCCTTGTCCCCATCTGCTTCAGAAAGCCAAACTAGGAGAAAATAAATCACATTTTTCAGTTTTCTACCAGTTTAGTCCTCTGAACAACCCACAGGGGTATGCAAGAATACTTCTTCCCACCACCACGTGCTTGGCCAGAATGTGAATCCATGCCCTTAGAGTCTGAACTGTCCTGCTGTGTTACCTACGTGTCTCATCACATACACAGGCAGCCTGTGCTCCTGGCTGGTCGCAGAGGGGGTGACCAGTCGCCCCCTCTTCCTGCCCTGCTATCCATACATTTTGTGAGCAAACCCACAGACCAGCTCCTGCATCGCCCAAGTTACAAGCAGGGACGGACGGCGTCGCACCAGCCCCGCGGGAACCCTCTCCTGCGCACAGTGAGGCCGGTACCTTGGCTGCTCCCAGCGAAGGGCAGCGCGCCGTCGCTCTGCTCCGAGGGCATCTCCGCGCGCCGCGGCGGCGGCTCCGTGAGCTTCTGTCCCTCCTCCACCTCCGGGTACGTGCGCACCGTGAGACACAGCAGCGGCTGAACGAGGACGTCTTTGAGCAGCGCCGAGTCCAGGGCCTCGGCAGCCTTCTGGTTGATCTCCACAATTTCATCGCCGGCTTTAAGGCCTGCAGTGCACAAAGAGGTGGGTAAGAACCTTTCTGTTCCCCACAGACATCGAGGAGCTCAGCTGGAGTAGTTTTGCAGTGCCAGACAGTGTTATGTCTATACATCAAATATATTTATGACTGCAAATGATACAGAAATCTCATGGATTTCTGTTGCCAGGCTGGTACTGCAGTCCCTATAAGCTTGAGGTGCCATGGGAGTCTCTCACAATGTTATTGACAGCAAGATATCCCCTTTTTCTTCTCATCCCTCTGCACTTATTGACAGATTTGGACTTCTGAGCTCTCCTCACATGTCTGGGGAAGGAAGGAGCAGCGTGAAACAGGTGTGAGCTGGGTCTCCACCTCTGCTTTGGAGCAGACCAGTGAATCTCCCAGGACAGCTACATTATTGGGCTGGGCTGGCTCTTCCTTTTACCCAGTTAAGAACTTTCCACATAGGTGAATGTTTCTATTGCTACGTCTAAGAAGACAGAAGACATTTCCCAATGAAAAGAGGTGTCTTAATCTCCAATAGCCTTCTATCAAGAGATACCCCCATCTGAGAGAAAAGCTTCAAATGGGGAAGGGAAGGAAGTTCAAAGCTTTAGTCCTCTTTAGGAAAATTGAGATCTCTCTCAATGCATATAATTGTGCCCAGAAACTGTGGTGTGGAACATGGTTTTGGAAAGAATCAAATGAAATAAATAGAATAGCTACAAAGTAAATGGACCATAAAATCATATTTGAAACAAGGACAACACAAAACAACTCAAGCATTTCGTATTATTTCATTTATTCTACTTAGTGGTGCCATGTCGTAACAGTAGCACATTAATATGCCTGCAACCATGAACACTGTATTTGGGGCCTCATTTACTCATTGTAATCCTGTTTTTAAATCATTTGGGATAAAGCATCATGCATATCTCAGCACAATCAGGCATCTCAAGTTCCAGATACGGCTTAGCTAAAGCAGACCAACAAAACAAATGTTAAAAAAAGGAAAAAATAGTGTTTAAGACTTTTTAAGTGGAAAAAACATAGAAAATACTATGACTCTTCTGATTAAACTTACCATAGGAAGTGATATCAAATGCAAACATAAATGTAAATAAAGGGAGGGAGAGAGAGTTTTCCTCCCTGCTTTCTGCTAACTGTGGGTATTTTGTGAAAATATTCTACCAAAGATGGTTCACAGAAGATATGGATTTTTCTATCAATTATGAAGGGCAGAACAACCGTGAAAGCTTGTTTTAGCATTTCAGCCCCACAGGAGGCAGCCTGTGCTCATGCATGTGTTTAAATTCCTGTTCAAACATTTTTCTAAAAGCAAAAGCAGGAAGCCTTGCTGGGAAGTGCCCCCACGCCGTGCCCTATTGCTCTCGCTGCTCCCCTCCAGACACCCGCAGACATTTGTTTCCCTGCTGGCAGGGAGCCACTTCCAAGCTCAGGGATTTTCCCATCCTGGGAATCGCCACCAGTAGCACAGGGGATGGGGGAATAAGGAGGGGCAGGAGAGGGAAAGACTTGTCCCTTCCTGTTCATCGACACGGGCAGAAGCCTCCAGAATGAGCAACGCCAGTTTCTTACAGCATGGTCGAGTGCTACAGGCTCCCTGCAGCCAAAGCAGAGCGTCCCCCTCCACATCCCTCTGCTCCTTCCTTCCCAATCTCTGTCCATGCTGCCCAGCCTCTCCGCTGGCGCCGCTTCAGGCACTCGCTTCACTGCAATTCAAGCCATCTCCATTTGCTAACGGGCCAGGAGACTGGTCACCATCTGTTTCTGCACCCACAGTCTTCTGTGGAGTTGGGGAGCTGCATCAGCTCAGCAAGGAGGCAGCACAAGGCACGGGGCTGGGCCGTTCTGGGGGGAGAGCAGCCCACTTGGCTTTCAGCAGCAGCAAACTGTTGAACACGCTTTGCAGCAGCATGTAATCACTCGCCAAGAAAACTCCTAAGGCGTTTTTGAGGACTCTGTGCACACTGAGGGGTTATGACAACACGACTCTCTTCCCACTCTTCATGCTCCCCTTCCCCTTCTTAAAAACCAGGTTAGGTTTCAGCTGGCCCAGCTCCCTGACCAGTCTGTCCCGCACCTGTGTGAGCAGCAGCTGCCAGAGAGGGCAATAAAAACGGATGACTAACAGGGGAAAAAAAGGTAAGGGCATGAAAGGGTTGGGGATGACTTTAGCTTGGATAAGCTGCAGTGACAAAAAACAATGAAATCCCATGGTCTGCACTAGGACCATCCTGCTGAGCTAGTTACCTCTGCTGCATCGAGGTCCGAGCGCTGCCGTGCCCCAGGTAGTCACTGGAAGCGATATCGAAGTCCCAGCCACAAAGCCCTCCCCATGAATGACTTGGGAGGGACCCCCCTTCTCTTTCTAGCTGCAAGGGACGTGCTCATCTTGCTACATGCAGAGCAGTTCCACATTAAAAGAGGGTGACTATACAGCATAGCTGATCCTGAGAGCAGAACAGAAGAGTACTTCAGGCTCTTCCCAAAAGACCACAACATCTGTGGCACAGGAGTCCGGGTCTGGGTTGTTTGTAAGGCTCCCGTATCAATAAGCTCATGGTGTACAGTAGGAAAACAAACCAAAAAGCAATAGCAAAAGCCTTCTAAAGTGGGAAGGTGCCTTTTACCTTTCTTGAAAGCCAGTCCCGTCTCTTTGACCCCGTTCACATAGAGCCGCCGAATCCCTTCTTCTTCCACAGAGGACAGCGAGAAGCCTAGGGAGGTGAGCAGCAACACGGTTAGGAGCACTGGATGGTTTTCAGCATCCCTGATCCCTGCGTGCCCCAGTGTTACGCCTGTTGTCTCCACTGCGGGCAGATTTCCTGACAAAGCGCCTGCCTTGGAAGCCTTAGGTGAAAAACTGGCCTTTACTCGTGAAAGCACAGCCGTGCCACGCAACCCCCAGCACCCCCTGCCTAGGGACGGTTTCCCTCCCTTCTCCCTTTTGTTAAAACTTTACAAACGTGAAAATTAGAATACAGGCACCGCTGTAGGAAAAAGCTGATTTTAATTTCTGAGTTTGTGTAAACCATTTACGGTTTCATCTGAGGCTGCAAAGCTCTGCATGCAGGCCAGGCTCCCCTGCCACCAACGGTCCCTTCGGCAGGGGTGCCGCTCGCAGGCA